GGCACGGCGGGGGGGTTCAGCTTTCAGCGCCCCCGTGTCCAGCCGCGGGACCTGCCGGCACGGTGGGGGGGATCAGCTTTCAGCGCCCCCGTGCCCAGCCGTGGGGCCCGTGCATGCGCGAACCTCGCCGGGACACCCATCGCTGCTTCCCTCATCGGGGGCGTCCCCTCCGGCCTCCGCACCACTTCTGCAAAGTCCCCCGACAGCAGCGACACCGCCCAGCACGGGTGGGCAAACCAGTCCACAAGCAGAGCCGGTGCCAGTTCTGGCTACTGCAACTTTGTTGCTAAGGCAACCGCCGCTGGAAACAACAGCCTCAGCGAGCAACAACACCAACAACTTTACAACAAAACCAACTTTACGCCGAACATTCAAACTTCAAACCGCTCAGCAAAACAGCTGCAAAACCCAACGAACAACAACAGCAGCCTGAACCTAATGAAACAACCATCTCCACACCGCAGATAACTTCCCTAGTTACTCCACCAATTGAAAAAAAAAAAAAAAAAAGGGGGATCAAAGCATTGTGACTTGCATTGCTGATTGATCTGTAAAAAATTTATAGATTTTGCATAGTAGAATTAAGTAGAGTTTCACTGAGTCTAGATATGAGTGTTCTTAAAGTGAATTTGTCACTTTAGAGTTCTTCTAAACCTCCCTGTTGACAAGTTAGACTGTCAAGTTTGAGCAGACTAATGATGTTTTATTTGCTGTGTGTGTGTTAGTTCACTGAACTAGTTGTATTAGAGTCAACCATCAAGTCCTTGCAAAGAAAACAATCCTTAAACATCAAGAACATAAACCAAAATTCTAAATCAGCATCCATTCAATGTTCTGTTAAAAGAAACCTCTTGTGCTGTGTTTGTTCTCTTTCCTGCAAGGGCCCAGCAGGAGATGACAAACACTGCTTTTTTATTTTTTTAAAAACAAAAGGGGTGAATTGTGGATGCTAACTGTGAAACAGAGAGCATGTGAAACTTCAGGCCACCGAGCTTTCTCAGTCTTGCCTGAGAAAGTGGCCTGGGAAATTATGAGGAGGATTTAAAACAGTCCTCAGAGACAGTAAACAGCCTTGCAGGTGCTGTTTGTCTGTTCCTTGTTTTCTCGCAAGAGAAGGTCGAGGGGTGGTGTACCCCACTGACCAATGATAGTGATGTGTTAGTTTACTAACCAAGAAGAGTTTCTTTTCTGTACTTTCCACGTATCGGTCTATAGAGACCTGAAGTAATAAACTAAGAGAAATTCTCCTGATTGACTCCTGAGAGAGTCTGTGTCGTTCGTCTCGCTGTTCCTAATAGAACGACAGGGGACGGGGTGGGACACTGGGGACACTCACCTGGATGGGGACAAAGGGGACGGTGGAGGGGAACACAGGAGACCCCTGTCTTGACAGGGAGAGGGACACAGAACACTCACTTGGATGGGAGTAGGACAGGAAACCTGGAGAGGGACACGGGGTTCACTCACCTTGACAGGGAGGGCTCCGTGTGGCTGCACCATCCCTGCTGTCCCCGCTGTCCCCTCTGTCCCCACTGTCTCTGCTGTCCTCGCTGTCCCTGCTGTCCCTGCTGTCCCCTGCTCGATGACGATGACGCTGAACTCCTCGGCCGAGGGCCCCGGGAAGATGCGGAACACGGGCGGCTGCGCCGGGTCCAGCTCCAAGTCCAGCTCCAGGCGCTCCAGGCTCACCCGCGGCACCTTGGGGAGCCGGGGGCTGCCCTGGGCCCCGGGGGGGCCCCTCCTGGGGGAACAGCAGGGTTGGGGCTGGGGGGAACCCCCAAACCTCCAGGAGAAAGATCCAAGGAGTTCAGGGTGCTGGGAGCCCTGGGAACTTTGGGAGGAGGGTCCTCAGGGACAGTGACAAGGCTCGGAGTGTTGGGGACAGGAGCCCAGGGACAGTGACAAGGATGAGGAATGTTGGGGACAGAGAGAGCCTAGGGACAGTGACAAGGATCAGGAGTGTTGGGGACAGGAGCCCAGGGACAGTGACAAGGATCAGGAGTGTTGGG